AGGCCCCCCCTCCTGCTGGGAGACCTCCCCGTCCAGCGCCCAGAGGGACAGTCACGGGTGGGGGGGGCCGGGATCCCCCCACCCTCCCACCCCGGGGACATGGCGGCTGCCAGCTTCCCCTCCCCCTCAACCGCCCCTCGCAGAGGCGGGCAAAGGGGGCAAACGGACCCCAGTCTGGCTGGTGGTGGTGGGCAGCGGGGGGGGCCTGTGGGTCTGCGGTGAGGGGGGCCAAAGCCCCCCAGCATGGCCATCGTTCCAGCTGCCCCCCCCGGCTCATCCCTCCTCTCCCTTCGGCAGAGAGAAAGGGGCGGGGGGGGGGGGGGAGAGGGGGGCCCCACGCACGATGCCACGGCCCCCCCAGGGCAGGCGAATCACCCCAAAGCCGAGGGGTTTGCCAGAGCCGCGTGTTTGTGCCGTGCTCGGAGCTCGGTCCTGCCCACGGCACCCATCGCCCCCGGAGAAGCAGCCGGGCTCGGGGAGGGCAGGACGGGCGGCACACGGTGCGGCAGCGGAGCACGCGGCGGGCACGTGGTGGGCCCGGCGGTCTGGCAGCCCCGGCGGCGCCGGCCAACCAGCCATTCTCCGTGACAGATTATCTCGACGTGACCGGCCTTTCTCCATGACGGATTATCTCGACGTGACGGCTTTCCCTGCTGAGCCGTGGGTCTTTAGGGCAGTAAGCCTGGCACAGCCACCGGCTTTGCCTGCCGGCGTAAAGCCCCACAGCAGCTCATGTGCCGAACTGAACCGCTGCCTTCTTTGGTGCTCCTGACGCCCTGTCCACTGGCGGGGGCTGCAGGCGTCCAGCCGAATCCCCCACGGCTCTTCCCAGCTCAGGGTCTGCTCCAGGATGGATCCCCCCACCGCGAGCATTCCTGCAGGGACCAGCAGGACCCTGGGATGGACGCGGCCACCAACAGCCCCGTGGGGACCATCCCGGGGAGTGGGTGCTCTGTGCCTGTGCCAAAGCAAGTCTCGGTGGGATCTGACTCCGCCGGAGCATCCCTGGACATGCCCCAGGAGGGTGGAAATCTCCATGGGGAAGGTGGCAGGGAAGGGACAGGCACTCGATAGCAGCCCTGTCGCTCTGGGAGGTCACAAAAGCGCCTGAGCTGGGGTGTCAGCGCTGAAATCGCCTGGCAGCAGCAGGTGCTGGGGGAACATTTTTCCTTATTGAAGGCAGCTTCCAGCTGCCGCTGCCTTAAGCAAACCTAAATACGGGCCAGCAAGGGATGTTTTGCATCCCAGGGTTTGTAGCCATAGAACAGGAAATATCTCCAATGCCCAAATATTTAGTTTTGCAGGGCACAGGGTCAGAAACAACGGCATTCCTGGGGGAATGGCGGGCGTGGAGGTTCCTCGGGGCAGAGCTCACCCCTTCCTGGGCCCGGCCTTCGCCTCGTCCCACCCCCACGGCCCCAGTGGGGTTTGGGGTGGAGACACACACACACACACACAGAGTCCAGGCTTCCAGGGTCTCCCACAGCACCCGATCCCAGCTCCGGGGCTCTGTACTGGGGCACTGGGATGGGGCAGGGGGGTGGGTCTAGCTGACCCACATCCCACGCAGGACAGAGATTTGATGATCCACAGAGGGGAGGCACCCGGGGGGGGGGCTTCTGTGCTTTTTGGG